GGTCAGGGCCGAGGCGGCGGGAGGGGCGAGGAGCCGTCGGAAGGCCGGGGAAGCGGGCAGCGCCCGCCCCGGCGGAGGGGAGGGGAGAGGCAGGCCGGGGTGCCGCGGCCGGGTCGTCGGTGCTGGGACGGTCTTTTTCGCCCTGCTGTAACCCAGCCTGAGGAGGTGACTCGTCTCTCTTCCTCGGATAACCACGTATTTCTCTTTGATCGTTTCACAGCCTTATCTGCAAGTGGAGAGTCTGAGTTGAGCTGAAATGGCTTTTTAGTCGCCGTGTCGCGAACTCATCTAAATGACTGACTCTTATCTCCACATGCATTATTCTCGGAGGACGGGAGGCCAGTCGGGTTGAAAGGGAGGCGGTTGCACGCAGTCCCGTACGCATTCGCTCTCTGGCGCTGATCCCCTTCCTGTGCCGCTTGTTCGGCTGTACCCACGGCACCCCCCTTACCGCCTCACACCAACCCCCTCCAAAAACCCCTCTTCAGGCACGCGTATGCAAGAGAAGTTTTATTTACGAAAGATGTTTCAATCGAAAAAAAGTCGAAAAAGACGATGCAGGTTTACAGAGGAAATCACTTAAAATATAACAAATTGCACAAAATATTAACACTGATCATACGATATTTCAAAGATTAACAGGCATGTGCTAAAGAAACGGTAGAGTCTAGAAATATCCCAAATATATCTACTTTACAGATCGCTGTACAAAAAGCAGTTATAAATACTTCACATCTAGAAAAAATACACAGAACCTTTGAAATAGACTTTCCCTTACATATAAACAACCTTTGTAGAAAAAACAAAAACACCCAATACAGGCCAATCCCCCTGCTCCTAGATATGTTTGAACTAGTACTGGTTAGCACCAACATCTTTACGTGTGTCACAAACAGGAGTCGAGTTCTGGTTTTTAAAAATAATTTTAGTGTTTACACTTTAATTAAGACCAAACGGGGACTACAAAAGATAACGCAATATGGTACATTCATAATTTGATAGGAAACGAGTACAGAGGAGGTGGAAGTAAAGAAACTGTGTTGCAGTCAGAAGTAACGGGGGGGTTGTGTAGTTCTCATTCATACAAGACTCCCGTTCGTGTCAGCAGTGAATTACCTTGACCCTGATCTTTCAAACAGTTATGCATGTGATTTATGAAGTCAATACCAGCAGTATCAGGCCTTTTAATCTATTCATTTTCTTGCTATGTCAAAAGTCAAAACCCTTCCGAAATAAGACACCTGTTGTGAAGTTGTAATAACCGAAACGCACATTTCCCTACAACACCTGTATGGAATTGCACTAAAAAAAAAAAATAAAATAGGTCTTGTAAATGGGAGTCCAAGAAAGTTTATTACAGACAATTTGGCAGGCTCGGGTTTATGGTAACGCAGTGTTTCTACATACAGTTTTAAGACTAGAACAATTATAAATCTTTTTAAAAAAATCTACTAACTTTTCTTGTTAATATTAACATCAATTTCTTTAAGTTAGTAATCTGCCATTACAGGAGCATAGCACCAATTTAATATTTATTGCTGTCATTTATCCCTACAAATATATTTTCCCAAGATATTTACAACTGTACAAATATTCACAAAAGTGCAAAATTAAGACTTTATCCTGTGTAACCGTTCGTTGTGTTCGGTGTCGAGTCTCACGCGCCACGATGACTGCCGTCTTGCCTTTCTTATTGCTGTGTGGTGAAAAGTCAGAACACCCTGCTGTGAGTACAGCGATTTGGAGTGAAAATTTCCAACAACCGCCTCTTCTCCCCCCTCGCTCCCCACCCGCCTTCAGCTCTGTTACGTGCCGCAGTCACAGCCCACTGGAAAGCGTCTCTATACATCGTTCGAGCCTTGGCTGGCGCAAGAGGAGAAGCTATCGTATAGAGAATCGCTCAGGGATTCTAAATTGTCCACGTCGTGCCTACCCGAGCTATTTAAGGAAGCTGCTTCTTTCTTTCCATTTTCTTCCTTTTGTCCTTCAACCTTGTTCAGACAGTTCTTCTCTTTTTCTAATATAAGTACGTTATTGCTGTTAAATTTATTGAGAGACTCCAGGGAAATTTTAGATAATCTATTCTGGGAATCGTCTTTTGTTTCTTCAGTTTGCTTCAATTTCTGTAATAAGTGAGGGAAATATTAGAAAGATATTTCTTATAAAGTTATCCTACTGTACACCATTAATTACTGTCTTTCCAAAGTTCACAGGGTTAAAGGAAATAGATTGTTAGATGCTTAAATATCTGTTATAATTCAATAGAACATTAATGTCCATTTTAGTATAAATCATAACTTTAATGTTTCTGCTGAGACAAATAGGACTCCACTTACAAAACAGTTAAGTGCTATTGACGTCTTAAGTAGCAGATCCTGGGTATGCATGTGTTAAGCATCTCCAGCATCTTCACAGTAATTTACATCTTCTTTACGAATACTTTGGGGGGTATGTTTAAACGGGTATTTGTCTAAGTAGAGTTTGGAGTCTGCTAAAAAAAAAAGGTGCGTAGACATGTTCAGAGGAAAAAAATTGCATTTTCCATAAATAACAGACGCAAATGAAACTTGCTAGAGAATAACCTCACATTTTGCATGTGTAAGCCTATTGATTTCCATGGACCCAAACCCTCTCTAATAGACAAGAAAACAAGACAGGAAATTATACTGAACTGGGCCAATCCCCACAGACCAGAATCAATCAGATATTGGCCAGGCCAACTCGGAGAAGTGGTGTAATTCTGCTGGAACACCGGACGATGTATTAGCACATTATATTAAAAACACACAGTAGGATTATACAAGAGTAATTTTATCCCTTTGTTAGCTACAGGTATTTTCAATCAGAGATCTGACCAAGGAATAGTTAGGGAACTGTGCAGGGAGCGGTTCAATAAAAATGACCTGCCGTTCATATACAGGGTGTTTCAAAATCTGTGTAACTAACTCCTCTTACAGATAATATTGTCACAGAAATATGAGATAACATTCAACATTTTACAGGACTCTCGGAGAGGCAAGATGCAAGAATTCTGAGATACGCTGTCAGAGTGCAAGCCATTCCTCATTTTTGGTATTACCATCAGATAGCGAAGACTGAATCAGTAAATTACTGTCAATCCAAGACATTAATATTTTGGTTTAGATAGAAAATGAAACGGTATTTTAAGCACACTGAAAATATAGCATGGCCAGATGTATGGATGATGTGGGTCATTACATACGCAGTTGTAAAGGGTCATTAGAATTTTTTGAAAAATTCAAGTTTCAAGTAAGTTAAACGTTGTGCATGCTGTGCCGCTTAACCCTGGAAATCTTGGGCAAGAGGAAGACAAATTGTTACATAGTTTGATCGCTTGTTTTTATGGCTCATTAGATAAAAATCGAAATGCCAGCCCAATGACTGTTTATGTTGTGATCTTGTTGTATTTCATATGCTAACAATGCCTGGATTAGTTTAGTATTTTTATCAAATGTTTCAAACAATCTTAAGCAAAGCAACAGGAGATGCTGAAGTCTTAGTAAATGAAAATTTTCTGTTTGGTTCATGAATTAATCTTCAGTCTAAAAGGTTTTAGGGGATGTTATGTCAGATTCTGGTTTTAGATGATAGTTAAAACGAAGGTCTTCAATATCTGTGATTACAATGTTTTCTGAAATAGAGGAATATAACCCATGGTAAAGGGAACAAACACAAAGTTAGGACCCTTCAATATAAATTCTCCACAATTTCAGCTTAAAATGTTCTTCCCTTTGCCCTCATTTAAAATACTATACAGTATTACTGAAACAGTTGTTTCACTTCTCTGGAGGCCAGATGAGAAAATTCTCAGACATGGCATCAATAACATACATATTAGCACTTTTTGCTCTTCAGAGTACTAAACCTAAAATACGTTATTACATGACAGATGAAATGATTTTTCTTTGTGTATATTTTTCCCACTTCATAGCTTTTCTTTAGATAAATTGAATGTGGCTGCTTAGCACAGACTTGGGGCTGCAAGAAGTCAATACTGGTGTTAGTAAGGTCTATGATAAAACTTTTATTGATTCAAATGGAGCCAATTTCCGCTCTCGGGTAGGAGGAGCAGAGACACCTAGAGTATTCGCTGCACAGAGCAGTCCAGATGAAGTATCAAAATAAGAGTAGGATCTTTGGCTGGCTGAAGGATAGATTTAAACCACAGGACAGGCTGGCGTGAATTCAGTGGTATATTCTGCATATAAGTAGTATCAATAATTTACTATACCCTACAAGCACAACCTAGGCTACAATCCTACTTTAATCACACCCTAGTTTGTAATTTAATATAAGGCTAACAGTTTATAAAATATATTTGAGAAACCGCAGGGAACGAAAGTATTCCCTACAAATTTTAAGACAAATCATTGAATGAAATGAAATTGAAGTGAAGCGGTGCCCATCAGTGAAACCCACTGGCAAAAGATACATAGAGTAGTGAACAGTACATCTACGATACATCGAGAATTAGAGGCAAAACTAATTCTAAAAGTTGTTGTAGCAGAATTTATTACTAAAATAGAGACAGAATTCAGAAATAAGTTATGGATATTTTTTGGACATACATTGTCCTTTTTAGATGTCTTACTGCCCAGTTACATCCTTTTGTAAGGAAAAAAAAAACCTTTTCCTTTCTTTAACACATTACTGCAATAGTATGCAAGTATGCAAAGGTAATGCTTGTGTGATGTGGAAAGCAATATTTTGCGTTTTTTCATTTGATGTAAGTGTAATCTGTTTGGCGACAATACACTGTTTCAGGCTGCCTATTGCTAATTTTATAATCAGGTAAGAATGTGGGGTCATCTGGATGGGACTTTTGGTAGGGAATTAACATTCTAGAACTGTACTCAGGTATCAGAGGTACAATATGTACAATATGATCTTATCTCACAATTTTTTGAGTACAGCTGCACTTAAATCTGTTAAATTTTCCGTTAAATCGTATATGGAATAAAAATATATTTGTAGTTAGAAAGTTAAAATATGATATTCTAGTCTTTGACACATAGAAGAAAACTCATTCACAGCCTGAGCTCCATGAGCAAAAATAAAGAAAACTTTACGCAGAGATATTAATGTAAGAATCTGCATAATCAACAAATAATTTTCTCCCACAGTAACAACATGATGTGCATTCCTAGACTTGAAAAGTCAATGATAATTTCTTTAAACTTGGCATATCAGAACAAATGTTACCCCAAGTTCTTTAAGAATTTTTTCTGTAGTTATTATAGATACAATTTGGAAAAAAATACCAGAGAGTATTTATTTTGATTCATCCTTAATTACATTTCTTATTTTTCACGGCAGTCACAACAGCTGCTAGATGAATCAAAAGGCAAAACCAAAGCAACTATTATTAGAATTTATTTGATAAATTGTGTATGTGGTTAAGTAGTGTCTTTAGTTTTGTTCATGTAGATTTGTTACTGACTTCACCAGAGCCACAGATATAACAAGGAACAAGGGTTAGCCCAAAGATGTTAGTATTGTGCATTTTAAAGTAGTTAGTTCATTAATGCATTTGAGTCACACTAATGTGAATCAGTAGCTTTTCCTGCAGATAGGAACATTTGGCAGCAGATCAGATGCGTTTTGTATCCACGAGGAATGGGTGAGATTTGGTAATAGTGTAGAGAGCGCCTAACCTCTAGGTCATGGGTTCCAATCAAATCTTTCCTATATTAGTAGTGACTTTCTGCACAATGAACAGGTGGTTTTATCACCACAGGAAAAAAAAGGACTTGGTGATTTTGTTCAGCGTTGCTAGAAGAGCTAAGATGGCCCCAACATTACGTGCTTGCTCTCAGCCAGGATTCTTCTCAGAAGTGACACTTAAAGCCCTTTCAGCCTGAAGGTGTTGACTTTGCTGCTGACTATTCTGCATCTGTTCTATGTATAAATAAGGTGTCTGCTGCATTCGGTGTGGTCACTTACATGTTTTCCTAAGTATTAACTTAAGGGAAAAGGTAAAAAGATGTAGTCACAGATTTTGGTCTAAGCAAAAAAAAAAAAGGCTCAGTGCACAAAAGGACTGTGATTTTCACAGTGCCTCTGTAAAAGCATTGGCCCATCATCCTAAAGCAGATCAATGTATAGCTTGTTTTACTTACACTAACTATATTTTTGTATAGAAAATCCATACTGTTACAGCCTTAGGGTATGGGAGCATTTGTTGTTCTACTCTGTGTAAGCGGAGAGCTTCCCACCACTGGTGTTTCTTAGCTAGTCAGTACGCGGTGCGTTATACCACCTGAGAGCAGTGACTAGTTGTCAGAAGAGGAGAAACTCTATCTGACATAATACAGACATTCATCATGAGTCACATCACTTTGAAATAAACTCAGGAGTCATGAATCAGAATAATGTTTCCTTGTTGGCAACATCCTAAAGGGAATAACTAAAACCCATTAGCGATATAATAAAATCTGGCATGTCACTTCAAGCACAGCAAATTAGGAAAACAAAACTAGCCTGCAGTTACACTGATACATTATAAGTAGGTGTTATTTCTACATTAATACATCAAATTACATTTTTTTTAAACTTTAAAAATGAGAGGTTACATGTGGGTAGAATGCATTTTCAGCGCTGTGTGATCAAGGACCAGTCACAACTGCAGCTGTTCTGAACGGCTCAAAGGCTCTGCAGGTCTAACAGGAAGGAGCAGGGAAGGATGGGCTGGTTCACAGGTACACAGGACCCCACAGCTGGCATGCAGAAAGGAATGCAACAGCAAGTCCATTTTTTCTATATGCTAACATGCAGAAGCTCTGATTGCCTGGAGGTCAGGCTATGCTTATAAGGCATGCCAGAGCCCAGAATTAGCAATGAACCATTCTGCAGGATAAATGTGTTTTCCAGCTGTCTAAGTTTAGTTAACCAGCACTTTAAAGGGCTCAGAATCAGTTACACACAAGAATAAAATGAACTTTATTTATGTCTCTCATGCACTGGGCAATTTAGTTTTTAGATTAACACAAAGGCAAGAAGGGCATTGCTTCAAGTGAAGTATAACTGCAAAACACTATTGGGTAAAAACAACTAAATTGCTATGAGAATTAAATATAGATCAACAAAATCAATACTTAATTGT